ATACAGACAGACACCATATTTTATAGATGCAGATAATATATCCAATTCAGCAAATAACATTTACTACATACTTTCAGCGGATGCTAAGTTAAGTGTAATGGCTAAACCGGTGAAATTTATCTTGCAACAAAAATTGAGTTGCAATACAATTTTAAATGCAAAGTTGGTGTGCAAAGTGCGGCTTCAGAGACCGGATCACTGTTGCCAGAGCAGTTTTTTGTTATCAGTTTGCAAGTTTGATAAGTCACAATTGCCAGGCCAGAAATAATTGATGTTTCGTTTGGTTTTGTGGACAAAATATATTGTTTCGTTGTTTAATAGGTACGTCATGAGATCAAAACTATCTCCTTAAACAAAAATTAACAAAAAATTAAATTAAAAACCATTGCTGTTTAAATCTTTGTTTCCCAGCAGTGCGTTGCAGTAATGTTTCATCCAGATTAAAAAAAAATTAAATGCCCATAAGAATATGCACGAATATTTACTTAATGACCAAATGGTGCTGGTCATTCAAAATGAGCAGCACTCAAAACACGTAACAATAAACAAATCCACAAGGGCCGTGATGAGGGTTCGAACCTACGTCTAAGATGATCCCAGGCGCTGCCTTAATCAACTAGACCACGACATGGTCAAAAGAATTGCAACCGGGATTAAGGCAGCGCCTGGGATCCTCTTAGACGTAGGTTAGAATCCTCTCACGGCCCTTGTGGATTGGTTCATTTGATGCATTACGCTATTGTGATTTCTGTGTGTAAATACCCAATATTTTAGTTCAGAGTGATTTGATTACACCTCAGTCAATGCTCCTATCATGCCAGAGCAGTTTGAAGGAGACCTGCCATTGTACTGTTGTTTAGGGTACACCAGAGGATAGGAAACTGTATCGCTTCAGTGCTGATGGGAAGGGAGGATGTGGGAGGGAGGGGGAGATGTTGGGGGCATGTAGGAGGGGGAGGAGGAGGAAAGGTGTACTCTATGTTGGAGCACAATGTAGGTCATGCGAGCTCTAATGAGGAAATAGAGCCTGTGCTCTAAAGTGTGGGAGATGTGTTTTAAACTATTTAAAGTGTGTTGTAAAGTTTGAGAGATGTGTTAATATTCAGTTTTCTTGAAGACAAGATGGCACTACTATCTCTTATCACGTCCTGGCCTCCTCCTCCTCCTCCTCCTTCCTGTGGCGCCAGGTCTGTCTCAGTCCTTGACGAAGCCTTTGGTCTAGTCACAGAACTACACCATTGTTCAGCGCTCAATTTTGTTTTTCTTGCATTTTGAAGTCACGTCTCCTGTGACGTTCATGTATACATATATGTTATTTATTTATTTTATTCCACTGTGTGTGTCTGTGAATGTGTGGTGTGTGTGTGTGTGTGTGTGTGTGTCTGTGAATGTGTGGGTGTGGGTGTGTGTGTGTGTGTGTGTGTGTCTGTGAATGTGTGGGTGTGGGTGTGTGTGTGTGTGTGTGTGTGTGTGTGTGTGTGTCTGTGAATGTGTGGGTGTGGGTGTGTGTGTGTGTGTGTGTCTGTGAATGTGTGGGTGTGTGTGTGTGTGTGTGTGTGTGTCTGTGAATGTGTGGGTGTGTGTGGGTGTGTGTGTGTGTGTCTGTGAATGTGTGGGTGTGTGTGTGTGTGTGTGTGTGTCTGTGAATGTGTGGGTGTGGGTGTGTGTGTGTGTGTGTGTCTGTGAATGTGTGGGTGTGGGTGTGGGTGTGTACTCACCTAGTTGTGTTTGCGGGGGTTGAGCTCTGGCTCTTCGGTCCCGCCTCTCAACCGAGGTTCTGTGTGTATGTGTGTGTGTGTGTGTTTACACGTGTGTAAAAACGCTTAATTTAGCGGGTTTGTTTCATATTTTTTCTTTTTTTTTATGATTGCATTAAAATAATTGCTGTGCTGGCAGTGTTTTGTTTTCTCCGAGACTAATTGCTGCCACAGTTATCTTCCTTCTGTGTATTAAGCTAATTGCTATCAGCCCATCGTTTGTCTCGCTATTATTATTTTCTTCTCCCCTCCTCAACCAGCGCAACACTTTGTCTTCTATTATTAAATTTCTTATCGAGTCTCCTGTCGTAGAGGAAGAATATTTTCGCTGGTGCTCCTGTTCTTATCAAGAGAACAACAGTTAATATTTTATCTATATTAATATTTTCCGAATAATTATTTTTTTGGGGAGAACTGTATCGAACGCTGGACTTGTGATCCTGTGGTCCTGGGTTCGATCCCAGGCGCCGGCGAGAAACATTGGGCAGAGTTTCTTTCACCCTATGCCCCTGTTACCTAGCAGTAAAATAGGTACCTGGGTGTTAGTCAGCTGTCACGGGCTGCTTCCTGGGGGTGGAGGCCTGGTCGAGGACCGGGCGCGGGGACACTAAAAAGTCCCGAAATCATCTCAAGATAATCTCAAGATAACATTAATCATATAACTCGGTTTCTGTATGTCTTATAGTTGGCTTTCCAAGTACCCAGCTGTCTTTGCTGTGCTTGATGGCTGTGTTGCACAGCTGACCTGTTGGTAACTAGCAATCCTTTCCTCTCCCCCCCCTCCTCTTGTCTCTTCAAAGGCCAAAGGCCAGTCACCTCAGCATGCAGCTGTGTACACACACACTGAGGTCTCTCGCTTCACTCACAGAGAATAGTTTCCCAGATCCCAGAGACACTCTCCACGCTCTCCAAAATCCAAAAGGTGGGTTGCTCACTCCAAAACAGTGAGCAACAGCAACTGGCAGTTATGCCAGCTGCTGTGAGGCTTCTGTGCTGGCTAGGGTTCGAGTCTCCTGGTGGGAAAGTGTTCTAAAGTTGTAAAACTTCACTTGCGTGTACACCAGTTGATTGACAGTTGAGAGGCGAGACCAAAGAGCCGAAGCTCAACCCCCGCAAACACAACTAGGTGAATACATACACACATATCCTAGAATTATCAGAACAACAACACATGAATAGGTTATGCGTAAGTAACCACAAGGAAAATGAAACGAAAATTCCGAACGTTTCCGTGTTTCAACACATTATCAAGGAATATAGACAGAAAAAATACGGGTTTGGGGTTACACACCCCCATGACACCTGAGCAGATAAAGAGCAATACAAACAAAATATCGATTAATGGGAGTGACATCAATACAAGTATATATATAGAACCTTTTATACACCTGGGTTCTGGGAGACTCGAATCCTGGACCCCAGGTGTGTCTGAGACCGAAGTTCAATCAATCGAGCTATTGAGTGGTCTTAATAAGAAAATTTGCAGAAAGT